TTTCATATGTGTTGACCACCACTAAGTCACTGTACAGTGCATTTTGGTGTCCAGTGCATTACAGTGTTACAGTGTACAGTGCATTGCGTGTCATGTGCAGTGTGTCCAGTATGTTACAGTGTACAGTGCATTTTGGTGTCAGTGCATTGCGGTGTCCAGTGTGTCAGTGTACAGTGCATGCGTTTGTGGTGTCCAGTGCGTTACAGTGTACAGTGCATTGCGGTGTCAAGTGCATTACAGTGTACAGTGCATTGCGGTGTCAAGTGCGTTACAGTGTGACAGTGTACAGTTGATTGCGGTGTCAAGTGTGCAGTTGCGGTGTCAAGTGCGTTACAGTGTACAGTGCATTGTGGTGTCAAGTGCGTTACAGTGTACAGTGCATTGTGGTGTCAAGTGCAGTGTTACAGTGTACAGTTGATTGCGGTGTCAAGTGCGTTACAGTGTGACAGTGTACAGTTGATTGCGGTGTCAAGTGCGTTACAGTGTACAGTGTACAGTTGATTGCGGTGTCACAGTGCAGTGTACAGTTGATTGCGGTGTCAGTGCGTTACAGTGTGACAGTGTACAGTTGATTGCGGTGTCAAGTGCGTTACAGTGTGACAGTGTACAGTTGATTGCGGTGTCAAGTGCGTTACAGTGTTACAGTGTACAGTTGATGAGTTACAGTGTACAGTGTACAGTTGATTGCGGTGTCAAGTGCGTTACAGCGTACAGTGCATTTAAAATATTGTTTTTTCCTGTTTTTTTGCACAAATAAGATATATGCGGTGTGCTTTTGAATTTGTTCATTTTTTTATCAAACTATAGTCCGGCCCCCCAACAGTGTGAAGGTCAGTGAACTGGCCCCCTGTTTAAAACATTTGAGGACCCCTGCACTGTCCAATAACATATTCATGCAATCCTCTTATCTTTGTGAATAGTAATACGCCAGGTTGATGTTTTTTCATGTTAACCAGTTCCTGTCTTCATACAACATGGGGGTGTGTGTTGGTGTCAGTGATGTTTGTGTTACTGTCACATCCTTCCCACATTACTATACATCAAGGAGCTCAGAAGGATCCTCACCGGTACACATCAGTCACACAGCAATCTTGTATTTTGTACATTCAGAGACAATGATCAGCTTTATCCCATCTGTATTTGTTACCTCCTTGCTGATACTTTATTTATCAAGTAAGTCAAATGTATTCATAATATACCAATTGCAGAATTACATTTTTCATATTTAATGATACCGGTACTGTATATGTAAATAGATGTAAAGAAATACATTTGGCCTAATATTTGTTATTCTGTTGCAGGTTCTGTCCATGGTGATACTATAAACTCAGCAGACCTGCATCTTTTTGGAGAAATTGGAGAAACAATAACATTATCCTGCAACTACTCTACCAGTAGCAATGCTCCCTTACCTGTCCTGGTATCGTCAGTATCCTCATCAGATACAGTTTATTCTTCTCCAGGGGGCAAAGGGGTACTCTAATATCATGAAAAAAAACACAGAATTGGAACCTGGAAAGTGGCAATCAGAGACCAGTGACACTCATACAACTTTAACCATCCATGGCCTGTCAGTGTCAGATTCCGCTGTGTACCTGTGTGCTCTAGAGGGTGCACAGTACTACATTTCCACCTAGCTGCAATGTTAAATAAAAGAGCCTGATTGCTCTTTGCTGACCAGCAGGTGGTGCTGCTTTCACATGCTATAGGGTCTCACACTGTGTATTATATTTGTTCTCAGGCTAGTGGTACATGTTCTTCTGGGTCTACATAAGTACTTCTGCTTCTTACAGTTACTTCATTATAACTAATAATGCACCATATTATAATATACATATGAAACAGATATCAGCAAGTATTTTTCAAATATGAAGGTTGTTTGCAAAACTTTTACACACAATTACATGGTACTTGAAATAATTCTATGTCAAGGGTTACTGGAGGAAAGTCGACTCATACCAGGGAATACTTGATATACACTGACTTTGATAAAGGTTCAAACTTTAGGAGCGCTGCAAATATAAGATGCTTTGATGAATACACAGTTTCAATGGATAGAACAGTTATATGGGATAAAATAAAAGTTATGACACTCAATATATTAGCCAAAATGTTTGATCAATGTAAAGTGACCCAGCATCAGATATATTTTATATCTTAGGACCATGCATGCTAAAAATCTGTAGGTTTTTTTCATCTTATATGCATGCAATTATTTATTCCCTTTCACAAATATCACAGCACTCCCCTTAAAAACATTTGTTCTACATCACTCTAGAGGAATAACTATAACCTTTAGAGCCTGGTGCGAGCCCGATGGCGGAATGCCAGGGCTAGGTCGCAAGTGCAACCTTTGTAACCCTGGTAGTTTCGCCACTGGTGTTAGTAATTTTTTTTTCACCATTCTATTTTATTTTTCTTACAGTATTATGTTTTACGGTAAATGGCACATTTACCAGCCCCTTCACTGCTCTCCATCACAAGGTTGTCACATAAGACATTCAAATTAAAGGGTATGTAAATCCCAACAATAAATGGTAGAATTATAGGCAAAACTTTTTTTTTTCACTTTGGATAGAGTAAAGGAGGGTTATAACCCCTGTCGGACTTTTTTTTCACCATCTCTGTCCCATTGCAGAGATTTCCCTTCACTTCCTGTCCCAGAGCCAAATAGGAAGTGAAATGAAATCCCTGCAAATTAAGGGAATTCCTTGAGGACCCCCAGGTCACCAGAACTAGTGTCCCCATTGGAAGATTTCCCCTCAATTACTTTTTCTGGGGACAACCCAGAATTTGGGATTTTCTTTTGCTTTCAATGATAATGGTACACAGGACAAATAGAGAGGGTGAATCCCCTTAACGGGGCACAGACAGTAATAAAAATTGACAGGCGTTCTAATCCCTCTCCACTCTATCCAGAAAAAAAAACAGATTTGCCTTTAGTTATCAGTTATTTTGTTCTGAGGATCCCACACCATCTATGTTAGGGACAAGAGGACAGGGCAAGTTTCCAGTAGTCCCGTCCTGTTTTCATTGTCCTGATACTATAGGGTGAGTAAGTGTTGTTGCCAGGGGGGGGACTGACCATTTGGTTACTCGGGCACTGCCCGAGGGCCCAGGGTCACTAGGGGGCCCCATGAGATGCCCCTAGTACCTTTCATAGGCTTTTTTGGGTCTGGTTTGAGTGTGGGTGAGGACACAGGGGCCCCATGGTCCCCTATTGCCCGGGGCCCCCATGAGTTGTCAGTCCGCCCCTGGTTGTTACACTAAGAAAGAAGGGCTTTTATGGTAAATTCAGTTAAGAAAGAAGCCTGAAAAAATAAATCTAATGCAGCCACCACATCTAAGGACTGGTAAACAGCGATATATTACATTTTCTTGGAGGGATTAGACTTTTAGGGTCCTTTCACATGGGTGTTCTGTTTTTTTCCCTTCAGTTCAGTTACGTTTTTCACGAGTTTACATCTGTTTTTTCATCCGTTTACATCTGTTTTTTCATCCGTTTACATCCGTTTTTTTCATCCGTTTACATCCGTTTTTTCATCCGTTTACATCCGTTCCGGGGTTTTTTGCTGAAGAAAAATAGGGATTTCTTCTGTTGAAAAAAATGGATGTTAACGGATGCGCACATTAACGAATGTAAAAAGATGTTCATCCGTTTACATCTGCAAGTCCATAGAAATACACGGGGTTAGTTTTTTCATCCGAAAATGGACAGATGAAAAAATGGAAATACGGAACGCCTGTGTGAAAGCTATAGAAGGTTAGTGTTGGGGATTCACATGGGCGTAGTTATGCGAGAACCGTGATTTGCCAGCATGGGATGCACAGGCAGTCCTATTTATGTCAGTTGGGATGCAGTCGGGGCGGACTGACAACTCATGGGGCCCCCCGGGCAATAGGGGATGATGGGGGCCCTGTGTCCTTGCCCAAACTCAAAAAAGCCTATGAAAAAGTACCAGGGGCATCTCATGGGGCCCCCTACTGCCCGTATTTCCAAATGGTCAGTCCGCCCCTGGATGCACAGATACAGCCACTGTCCCAAACTTGACAGGTGCAGGTGCATGTCCCTGAATGCAGACAGCTGTATAGCCACCAGATTGCTTCTACAGTATAGCCAGCAGTAAACAAACTCACAGCTGCTATTGCGGTCATGTAAACGTAAATGCATTTAAAGCGTCACCTATGGACAATATTGGGTACCATAGCTTTTTGCTATTTCATGTGCATGCACAATATTTTGGCTATACATGTTTGATATTTGTTTAATATTGTTTTTTTTTTTTGCAATAAAATTAATTTTAGTATATGTGTATCCTTATCTTCTTTTTTTGGGTTCTTCCTAAACCCGGGTTGTTTGCTTCTGCCTGCTGTTGGAAAGCACCCTTTGCAATAGAGCTAGAAGCCACAAAAAGTGCCTGTCCACACTGGAACACAGTACAAGAAAGCCACGTTCTGTTGCGTGCGCATTTCCCACACAATGTACCGAATGCACTGGATGTGGGATCTGCTGCAGGTGTGGACATGCCAAACATGTAGTGCATTTGCCTGCACCAGACCGCATGGTATCGCAGCACCATGCAAACAGGTTGCAGTACATTTTTAAAATTAGTTCATACAATACTTTTGCTGTGTTCCAGAGCAATTTCAGCCCATTCAAATGAATGGCCTGAAAATTGCAATCCACAGGAACCGCACAGAAACGCAGAGTGCGTTCCAAATCCCAATCTAATTTCTTAAAAAAAAATAGCTGTTTAACTTTTAAAGTGTTACTAAACCCAGGACCCTACATTCACTATATCCACAGTACACAGAACATGGAAATGCAATTATTTAATAAATATAAACTGCTAAATACCTTTTTTCATCAGCAGTATATAGCAGTCTTGTGACTTCTATCAATGTCCAGCTGAGCACTGGTTAAAGCTTGTAGGAGGAGTTCATTCTGCAGAACTTCTGACCTCTGTCTGGACAGTGCTGGTCGGCCCTGTGCTGATCACATGCACTCTCCCAAGAAACAAAACAAACCTCTCTAGCAATGCACACCAAACTGAGCATGTACAGAGTGTCTCCACACAATATGTCTTCTCAGGAGATAAGAGGGGGACACTGGGAGAAGGGGAGGATCAGAGAAGACAGGATCAAGCAGCCTTTTTACACAATGCAGAGGATTAACCCTTTAGGTTCCATAGTGAGTATAACAAGCATGCTTTACTGCATACACAGACTGGTTTTACTGTTGTGGGTTTAGGAACACTTAAAGTAAAATCCTACCTAGCTTTCCTTCTACATAATGTAAAAGTGGAAGAAAAGCCTAACTATAACAAACTGTAAAATATTATTTCCTTCCACCTCCTAACCTCCTAATCCTGCTTAAAAAAAGATCTCTATACCTACCTTTTTTAACCCACTCTGGTCCAGTGACATGATCCCACAGCTCAAGCATACAAGGGCATTATCATGAAGCCTATAGGTGGCGTCAAAGCTCCAGGAATTCACAGCCATTGTTGAAAGCTTGCTTACACAGGGGAGCCAGAGCTGCATGATCACTGGACTGGAGCAGATTTTTAAAAAAATAGGTAAGTACACAAATCTTTTTTATATAGGGTAAGCAGGATAGGGAACATTTTGAAGAGTTGCTATAGTTTTGTTCTTCCACTTGAAAAAGAAAGGTGAGTAGGTATGTTAACCATAATTAGGCCTGTATGCACTGTCAGATCTTTGATATCAGTTGTAAACTAGATGTGCTTACTGACTATCCCAATGAGAGATTAAGGATTTCAAGGCTTGAGGGGTACATTGTATGTTAAAACGGTAGTAAACCGCAAAAAATAAGTCTAAAAAAAATCTCCCTGCAAGTTAAGAGCATAATGTGTTAGTATGCATCACATACTAACACATTATGGAAGACTTACCTGAAAACGAAGATCTTCAGCGGAGTGCTGTCATGGCTGTCCTGGGCTTCCATCTTCACCTAAAAGGGTTCACAGGCTGCTGCCATTTGACTGGCCGAGCTGCTGTGATGTCACTCCCACAGTCTCAGCACAGCTATCTCAATGGATGGCGCACCTTCCATTGAGAGCACAGTGCGCATGTGCCAGTGACATCACCAGCACTGCTAAAGTGAATATCTCCTAAACAGTGCACTTTTAGGAGATATTTACAGCACCTATAAGATATGACTTATTAAAGGCTTATGTGTACGTAAAACATAAAAAAAAGACTTTACTACAACTTTAATACACCTTTAAACAAATCTGCCCCCTAATTACATGAAACTGCAACTAGTGCAAGCCATTCCCTTTCAATCAGATTTTAAAATTGTAACAGTACTCACACAGGTAACTTTAGACCTTCTTTGATCTTCCTGGAGCTGATTGTTGGCTGAGTCCTTGCCATTTTGGCTATTCTTCTATCCATTTGAATGGTAGTTTTTCGCTTTCTTCCACGTCTTTCAGGTTTTGGTTGCCATTTTAAAGCATTTGCGATCATTTTAGCTGAGCAGCCTATCATTTTCTGCACTTCTTTATATGTTTTCCCCTCTCCAATCAACTTTTTAATCAAGGTACGCTGTTCTGAACAATGTCTGGAACGACCCATTTTCCTCAGAATTTCAGAGAGAAATGCACTGTAACCAGCATGTACAACATTTGCTGCCTTCCTTCCTTAAATAAGGGCAATAATTGCCACCTGTTTTTCAAAGAATGAAAGACCTCACTAATAGAACTACACACTGCTATTATTTTGAACATGTCCCTTTCAATTAGTGATTCAATTACACACAATCAGCAGCATGCATGTCATGACTGTTGGGTCTGTTGAATTTCTATTACTCTACTACACCTGCTAGTAAATTATTTGGCATGTAGAAATATCATTTCTAAAATTTTATTTTCATAAAATAATGCAGTTCTTCATTAATGCATCCTTAAATGTATGTTTTTAAATTCAAGCAGTATAAGAATCTACATTTGTTTTAGTATTAGCCCCTTGCAGTACCTGTAGAGCAGACTGGGGGAGGAAGAGGCTCTCTAAGGAGCCAGTTACTTGAGCTGAAGTGCAAGAAGCATGCTGGCAGAAAGAGAGCAAAGTCAGAGCCATGAGATTAGTCTGCTGCTTCTTCTTTCACTGTCCAGTCACAGGGTGCCTGTATGTGTTACTTGTAGCAATTCTCCTCCACTGCCTAACCAAGGTTAGGCTGTATAAATATCATGATTGGAAGGACAGAAATATAAAAGCTTAAGCATGTAAAACAGTTACTTTAAGATATTTACAGATAATTTATGTATGCCATCCATGTATTTATCTGGTGGGGTTTAGCTGTAAAGGAGTAGTATGGCCAAAGCTCTTTTGGCCATACTTCTCTAGTGGGTCACAGGAGTGCACCAAGTTCTACACTCCTCTGAACCAGATTTAGCTGACAGGCGGCTGGAGTCAATGTCAAATTACATGAAAAGCGCAAGTCCAGGCTCTGCAGGGATCCCAACAATATCGGAATCCACCTATATTTCTGACCAGAAAATGGATCAGCCTCTCAGCATGCTGCTAGTAGGTGTAGTAAAGAATAGAAAACCAACAGATCCATTAGTCAAGACATGCATGCTGCTGATTCTGTGTAATGGAATCAATTGAAAGAGGTGTGTTCAAAATAATAGCAGTGTGGAATTCAATTAGTGAGGTCATTCAGTCTGTGAAAAAACAGGTGTCAAACTGGTGACCCTTATTTAAGTACAGAGGCAGCAAATGTTGTACATGCTGGGTATAGTGCATTTCTCTCTGCAAATCTGAGTAAAATGGGTCATTCCAGACACTGTTCAGAAGAACAGCGTACTTTGATTAAAAAGTTGATTGGGGAAGGGAAACTGATAGGCTGTTCAGCCAATGATCAGCGCCAGGGTAATCAAAGAAGGTCTAAGGTTGCCCGTGAGTACTGTAACAATTAGAAGATGCCTATGTGAAGCCAAGCTATTGGCAAGAAGCCCCCCCCCCCCCCTCCACAAATTCCCATTGTTGAAAAAACGACGTGCTAAAGAGGTTACAATTTGCACATTGACTGGCCTAAAGAGAAACGGCGCAGCATTTTGTTGACTGATGAAAGCAAGATTGTTCTTTTTGGGTCTATTGGCCAGAGACAGTTTGTCAGACGACCCCCAAACACTGAATTCAAGCCACAGTACACTGTGAAGACAGTGAAGCATGGTTGCGCAAGCATCATGATATGGGGATGTTTCTCATACTACGGTGTTGGGCCTGTTTATCTTTATATCAGAGCTCATGGATCAGTTTGAATACATCAGAATACTTGAAGAGGTCATGTTATGCTGAACAGAAAATGCCCTTAAAATGGGTGTTTCAACAAGACAACGAACCCCAAACACACCAGTAAGCAAGCAGCACCTTGGTTCGGGACCAACAATATTAACGTTATGGAGTGGCCAGCTCAATCCCCGGACCTTAATCCAATAGAAAACTTGTGGGGTGACATCAAAAATGCAGTTTCTGCGGAAAACCAAGAAATGCAGGGGAATTGTGGAATGTAGTGCAATCGTCCTGGGCTGGAATACCTGTTCAGAGGTTCCGGAACTTGGTCAATTCTATGCAACACAGATGTGAAGCAGTTCTCAGAAACAGTGGTTACACAACTAAGTATTATTTCATTGATTCCAGGGGTGTAGAAATTAAGACTAAAAAAACCACTCTTTGTCCAAGAGACCAAACCAGGGTCCCAATCTACTTGTCCCAATAAAAAAAAAAAAATAACCAATAAGAAATTTACCAAAACCATATTTAAATGTATTTATTGATAGCAAGAAGGTTTGATGTTTTTTATTAGGCAGTTTTTAAAATGTCTAGGGGTTTTAAAAATGAAAGGGGATTTATGACGGACGTAGACTTTTCATATGTTTAAAAATGCGTAGTTTACCTCCTTCTCAACAGCAGGGAAATGAGAGACCTTGCAGCGTGCCAAGCACTCACTGACACTTATATTTGCTAGCTATATAATATGCCCAAATCTTCCTGAGTGCACTTATGCAGGTATGTCCAAACTAACAAACCAAAAGCCACCTATAGCACCACAAGACCATGTTATGTACCAATGAATAGGTCGTGTTCAATGTGCAGCTAGCTATTCTTTTTCTATAATCCTTTTAACAGTAATACATTAGGCCCCCAATTTATGTTGACTTTGGGCCTTTACCGCCAAATATATACTCGCCAATTTCATATAGAGTTGCAAACCTACATTTACCATTGCCAAATCCACAATAGAACTGCAGACATATTTGTGAATGTCATATACACAATGGAGCCGTCGCTGTTCTCTACCAAGGAGCTGATCCTCATTTGCTGGGAAACATTACTAATGTTGTATTTTTCAGTTGAAAACATGTCCAATTTCTAGATCCATAGAGGTTCAAGGTATTCCATAGAAGTTATTTTTTCTTCCTAACTATACAGGTGGAACAGACACAAAGCATATACCCAGGGCCACTGTTAGATATCACGGCGCCCCCCATACAGCATACCTGACAGCCCCCCACTGAAAAAATATCCAAATTATATTGTAAAAATACACTAAAAACATTATTGGACAACCATATTCCAACCAACCATATTCCTGTGAAATCTAAATGATAAAACTGTACTGAGTTCATAAAGCTGTGTGTAATTGAGGTCTTGGGGCTCATGGGTGCTATGGCCTGTAGAGTGGAATCAGTGGTTTGTTTTTTTGTGGCTATCGCCGCTTGCAGGCCACCTATGTTACACTATGGAAATGCTGCAGGTCATAATTTGACAAGCATAGGGGTGCAGGTGTACAGCCCTGAACACAGACAGTGAGCATTCAGGCCACTTCCCCACGCCTTCACACCTGTCAGATTAAAAACTGTGTTCATACAGCTGCTGTGTCCCCCATAGTGTAACAGGTGGCTCAAACAGGGCCCCTCATTCATGCTGTACAGGCCAGGGGCCCTGTTTGAATGGGGCATTTTGTGTTTTTTTTTTTTTCCTCAGCCCATTAAATTCAATGCGTTGCCTAACATGTGGAAACATGCCAAAATACTGCAGGCATGTTATTTTCAAAGTGTGTTGCACCTAACCGCACAGTAGTGTGGTGCCATGCGTTTTTTGTGGCTGTGAATGGGTCTATTTTTATATTCAAATGGTATTTATTGAAAAATTTTCCAACATACAAAAAGGTAAACATATTAACATGAA